GCAGCTGTTGGGATTAAAGAAAGAGTTAAATGCATAATACTTCTCTGTGCAAAACCACCGTCATGAATTGGGAAATTTCTTGAAGGAGATATAATAGAGAGAAATGCAGATGAAGAAAATAACCTTGTATGTAGAGAGAAAGAGAGAGAACTATACTTACTAAGACATCAGATTTATGCATACATAAAGGGTTTCAAGGTCAGAAAATAAAGTTGGTAATTCTGGTGTAATTAAATCCTGAACAAAATTCATTTTCAGATAATTTAACCTATTCTTTCTTTTTCTAAATGAGATGTACATTTACTGCTTCTAAATTGTAACCATAAATGGCCACATGATGTCCCTAATAAGCTATGTAATATGATGTGCTTTCATTACACTGTACATTATGTTATAAATGATTCACGATCATCTCATTTTATGTCCTAATTACATATATGAGGGGGCTAGAGTGTTTTTTGTTTTTTTAATCTTTTCTAAATGGTATCACATACCTATCTAGTGGGTATCATAAGAGAAAATAAATATATACCATCAATTAAATAAAAATACTCATGACTTGGTTTGCACCACCCCAACCATCCCAATACACAGTGCTGAATGAAGTGCTTGCATTCTCTTCTAAATAAATATAAAAAAACACATAATCACCAGTATTTAAACAACCTAACTTTCTTGCCAAAGAATGTAAAAAAATACCTAACTTTAATTTGCAAAGAGCAGTGAAAATGTAAGACACATAATAGTACGTAACTATAAGTAGACGTGTGCAAGGCAAAAATCTTTGTTTTGTTCCAAAACACTTTGGCAGAAAAAAAAAAAACAATTGAGTCAACAGAAATAAGTTTGTGTTGCTGTTCAGCTCGAACGAATTTTAGGAATATCATTCGGGAAAGCACAGCAGGAAATATTTACCTATGACTGTGCTGGCATTCAAAAACCGCTGCAATATTTCCAGTCAAAATGGCTATGCAATAACCGCCTTTTTTGCAATGTCAATTCTGAGTTGACAAAATTAGATTATTATATATCTGGATTAAAAAAAATATTCTAATTTACATTTATAAAAATTTATTGTAATCTTTTCCCTTTTGCTATTGTGTATTATGAAAACTAGGGATCAGGAGTGATTTTAAGTTCAAAAGATGGGATTTAGCACAAATCCAGTTTGCAGCGTCAGTGATCATCATTAATTGCGGAAAAAGCTATCAGCTTATCTCAACTGTGTCTATGGAGGGAACAGGTTCAGTGACAGCCAGTCAGGTAGGGCAAAACTACAATGAAAGGCATTAGAAAAAAGAGGAGCAACAGGGGAAATTGAACTTGAATTTTTTACTGCCATATTTTAGTATACATTGACAAATTTATA